CTCCTTGTGCTTCTCTTAAGCAGAAGCTTTTTCTCCTCCTGTAAATACAGCTTTCTTTCCCACAATAAATATTTCCTGCTGTTAACCTCCATTGTTCCTAGAATTCATTCTTTGATTTTAGAGAACACAAACTCAGCTAGTGGGTTGGAAGTTTATATTTTCTTTATATTATTTGGATTATTTGGTGGTCCTATATCACTTTTTTTTTTCCTTTTTAGTTCTTTTTGAGAGAGGGTTTCACTATGTAGTTCAGGCTGTCCTTGAACACACTTTGTAGCCCAGGTTGGTGTGAACTTGCAGCAATCCTCCTGTCTCAGCCTCCCGAGTGCTGGGATTACAGGTGTGCACCATCACTCCTGGCCATTCCTATATCACTTTAAAAAAATTAATTTGAGACAGGGTTTCACTAAATTGACTAGGTTGGAACTTTCTTTTTCTTTTCTCTTTGTTTTGTTTTTGTTTTTTTGGGACAGGGTCTCACTTTGAACTCACTGTGTAGACTAGGCTGGTGCCAGTGTATAGTCAGTTTCTGTGTGGGGTGACAGGTCCCGAGAACAAGGTGCCCAAGAATGAGGTGCCTGGGGATAAAAAGAAAAACGAGAGAGACAGTTATGGGATCAGGGGGCTTGCAGGCTCTTGGACTGAAGCCTTGATCACCATCCTCCTTAGCCTTTTATTGGGATACAAAGAAAAAGCAGCAACAGGGCAAGGAATAATTAACAGGATTGGCGAGGACAATACAACTCAGTTATCACAGGAGTGAGACTTGACTTAGTTAGCCATCATGTTATCATTCCTTCCGAATATCTCAGCAAGGCATCTAGTGATGTCCCAGGGGCTTTCCGCAGGGACACAGGTCCTGCTGTCATTGCCTTTTACACTAATGCTTTTGCTAGACTTCCTCCAGAATCAAACAATCGTATGGCTTGGTCAGGCCCAAGTCCCAAACAGGTAATACATTGAAAGATAAACTAAAGCATGTCCTTCTCCACAGGCTGGCCCTGAATTTATAGCAATCTTCTTGCCTCAGCTTCCTGAGTAACTGTTGTACTGTACTACACTGGAATTACAGGCATGTATTACCACACCTGGCTGGTTTGGAACTTTAGATCCTCCTGCCTCAGCCTTTGGAGTAGCTGGGATTACAGGTGTGCGCCACCACAACTTTATATACCTTCATGTAATTGCTACTCCAATCAAGATACAGAACCATTACCATGAGGCTCCCTTGCCTCCCTGTGTCACCAATTTGTGGATGCATGTAGGTCCCCTCCCCTGTCTGTAACTCCTGGAAACTACTAGTCTGATCTCCAGCTCTAGGATTTTGTTATTTCAAGGACATTATCTAGCTGGGCATGGCAGCATATGCTTATAATCCCAGCATTCAGAAGGCTGAGATAGGAGGATGGCGAGGGAATCCTAGGCTACACAGTGAGCTCAAGGCCAGCCTGAAATACATGGTGAGACTATGTAGTCCCCCCCAAAAAAGAATGTTATCTAGGGGCCGGAGGAGGTGGAGCTCAGGGGTAGAGTACGCATTTAGCATGGGTGAAGCCCTGGAGTTGATCCTCAGCAACATACGCACGTTATATAAATCAAATAATACAGAATATGACCTTGTGAAAGTGGTTTTTTTTGGGTTGTTGTTGTTTTAGACAAGGTCTCCCTGTGTTACCAGGCTGGCTTGGAATTCCTGTTCTCATGCAGTCCTACTGCCTCAGCCTTCTGTGTAGTTGGGACTACATGCACAAGTAGTGGCTTTTTTCTTGTCCTTTTTTTTGACACAGGGTCTCGCTCTGCAGTTCAGGCTGGCCTTGGGCTCACTTTGTAGGCCAGGCTGGTCTCGAACTCACAGCATCTTCCTACCCCAGCCTCCCGAGTGCTGGGATTACAGGCATGCGCCACCACTACCAAGTGGCTTTCTTCTATCAGCATACTTCCTTTGAAATCTCTCCAAAGAGCTGCACGTGTCAGTTGGTTGTTCTTTTACTGTTGAGTAATGTTCCATGGCAGGGATGTTTATTTCAGTGTTTATTTGATAAGAGATTTGTGTTGTTCCTAAGCTTTGGCTATTAGGCTATAGCTGCCATGAACATTTAAGCATAGGTTTTCGTGTGAACAGAAGTTTTCATTTCTTTGGGATAAATGTCCAACGGTACTTCTGCAGGGTCATATGGGAAGCACATGTTTAGTGTTTTTTTTTTTTTTTTCGTTATTGGGGATCGAACTCACAACCTTGCACTTGCCAGGCAGGCGCTTATGCCACTGAGCTATATCCCCAGCCCAACAAATTTGGGCATGTACTTTTTTCTCTTTTTTTGGTACTGGAAATCGAACTCAGAACCTTGTGCTTGCCAGGCAGGCACTTATGCCGCTGAGCTATATCCCCGGCACATGTTTAGTTTTGTAAGAAATTGTCAAAACTTTTTCAGAGTGGGCATATAATTTTAGATTCCCACAGAAACGTGGATCCAGTTTATTTCATGAACAGTATTTGGTAGTTTTTTTTGGAGACAGGGTCTCACCATGTAGTCCAAGCTGGCCTCAAACTCTAGGTGATTCTCCTGCCTCAGCCTCCTGAGTGCTAGGACTGCAGGCGCCACCACGAATTTGTAATTTAGCATTCTGATAGGTGTGTAGTACTATCTCATGGTGGTTCTAATTTGCATTTCCCTAATGGCTAATGATGTTGACCATGTTTTCCTGTGTTTGTCATCTGTATATCCGCGGGCCCTTTTTTTTTTTTTTTATTAGGGGGGGACAATGTCTCCCTAAGTAGTCCAGGCTGGCCATAAACTGGAACTCAAGATCCTCCTGCCTCAGCCTCCCAAGCGCTGGGATTACAGGCGTGCATCACCACACCTGCCTCGAACCGCGTTTTCTCCCAGCGTCTCGGCTCTCTGATATCACTACGCTTTTCCCTCACTTCCTCAGAGAGCTCCCTACGCACCCGTGTTCACTCGCGCACTCGCCCTCTGCTCGCCCGCACCCTCTCCCCAGCCGGCAGCTCCAAGCGAGCACGCTGCCTCGCCCCCAGGGTCTGCAGCAGTGCCTGGCACAAACACAGAGGCGCCCAGTGCATCACTTATTGCTTGACTGGCAGAATAGAACGGAACAACGTAAGTGGACACTTAAAACTCTTATTTCTAGGTCAGGCGCCTGTTCCAGCTTTACGCAACCCGAGAGCGCCACCTCTCGGGAAGCGCGTTTGTGAACGGAGGAAGTGAGTCAGGACCTTTAAGGGCAGGAAAAAAAATGGCGGCCAGACGCAAGCGTGTAAATATTAGCGCCGGAAGTGAAACACCGGAAGGTTGCTTTGCAGAACCGGGTCCTACTCACAAGAGGACGCGTGGGCGAGCGGTGTTCTGTAAAAAGGGCTCGCCTACAGCGGAGCTGCACAGAAGCGTTCCGAGTGTGCAGAGCCTGGGAACCACGTGGGGCGCGTCGCGTTTCCGGTGCCCGCGGCTGCAGCCGGAGTTTAAAGCCCAGGCAGCTGGAGGGGTAAGCAAGGGTTAGGGTCTTGAGGAGAAGAGAAAAAGCTTGGGGTTCGGCAGGTGGGAAGAGGAGGTGAGAAGGTGCGTTCCGCTCTGAGAGGTGGCCGGGGGTGGGGTGGGGAGGGCGGGGGCGTCTGCGGACCCCGAGCTGTCACGAGCCACGCGCTCGCCTTTGTCCCGCCGCCGAACGTGCCGGCGGGGTGCGCCTGCCTCTCCTCCTGCCGCTCCGGGGTGCCTGGAGAATGAGTGAGGGCTGAGGTGCCGGCGATCGGCGGGGCATCGATGGGCACCGTTCCTGGCCCTGCAGCCCCGTCTTGCTCTGGGAATCCAGGCTTGCCCCAGGTTGTCTCTGGGCTTTGTTCTCTTTTTTCTTGGAAGAGTGGAGTGTTAAATCACGTAGCCACGGGGGCTGGGGATTTAGCTCAGCGGCACAGCGCCTGCCTGGCAAGCGCAAGGTCGTGAGTTCGATTCCCGGTACCGGAAAAAAAAATCACGTAGCCTCCCCCTGGTTGGAGGCAAGGCCCTGCGGCTAGGTGCCCGCGGCAGGTCGGGGGTCCCGCAGGGCAGTGTGCGCGCACGGCCGGCGGGGAGAAAATTGCACCGCGCTGTTAATTCAGTGCTGTCTGAAGAGGTGAAGTCAAGTTCAGAAGGATGGGCCTTGGGTGCTGCTGCCCCTGAGGGATTACCTTTCAAGGGGAGGCCGCCTCTGCTGCAGTGAGACCAGTGTGGGCAGATCCTTTGCAAAAGGAAAGCGCAGTGGGTGCCATCCGGGCTTCTGTTGCCCCTTGAGGTTCGCTGTTACTGCTGATGGCTGCAGGTCTCTGACCATGGCTTTCATGGTATTTGTTACATCTTAAGGTGTAGCTTCAGTAGCATACGGTGGGGAAATCTGCATTTTGGCCTCCAGGGGCTTGCCCTGGTCCTGGTTCCTGTTTGCACAATGAAAGGGGTCGCCCTGACATAGCTTCTATTTCTTTTTTGTTTGTTTGTTTTCCTATACTGGGAATCAAACGCACGACCTTGCGCTTGCCAGGCAGGCACTGTGCCGCTGAGCTAAATCCCCAGCCCCGACCTAGCCTCTAAACCACCTTCCAGTTCTGCTGTCATGGCTGTGACAGTAAGTCAAGCTGTGTTTCATACCATCATGTACCAGATCTCACTTGGCACATCGGTGCAGTCAGTATTCGCCAGCCTGGCTTGGTTAACTGCTGAGAAAGATGGCCTCTTATTTTCTAAATCTCCTTTTGTGATGGTATGGGGCATACAGTAGGTGCTTAATAGAAGCTCATGCCATCAAGTGGCTTAGGAGTTAGTCTCTGCTTTTGGACCCCTCCCCATCTCGGGGTATTATTTGCTGTAAGAGATGACTGGGAGGAGTTGGGTTTTAGGAAAGAGATTTGGAGTAGGCACGGCAGCTTGAAACCAGCTTTATAGAGTAATCGGCTTGGGAGGGATCATGGTGCAGGCAGGAATCCACTGCTGTTTCATCCCCCTTCCCGTCCCCAGGACCATGGCCAACAGCGAGCGGACCTTCATTGCTGTCAAGCCTGATGGCGTCCAGCGGGGACTTGTAGGAGACATCATCAAGCGCTTTGAGCAGAAGGGATTCCGCCTCGTTGCTTTGAAACTTGTGCAGGTAAGCGGGCTTGGATCTCTCGGTCGCGATTCCTGCATAGTATAGATGATGACTAGATTAATGTGCATGTGTGCCGCTTCTCCTCCTTTTTACACTCTTCCATGTCACCTGGCATCTTAGCTTTGTTCTGAAACAGGTTACCGGGGCCCTCAGACACGGTCTCTTCTCAGCAGTGTAGAACTCCGCCTGTCACTGCAGCACTGCAGTCTCTGCCTCAGCTCTGGGAGCGTAAGAGCTCCTGATCTTAGAACCCCGCCCGCCTTGGGAGCGAGGTTGTTTTTCAGCAGGAAAATCTTGGCCTCATCAGTTACTACTGCTTTGCATTATCAGTCGCTACTGCATTATCATCTGTCCAGCATACATCAGGCCTCCAAGGGACTTGGTGTGTGTGGGGTCTGTGGTTTTGCTTTTGGGACAGCTCTCTAGGCACATCTGCAAGACACATGCGTGGCAACATTTCAATAAATGCAAAGGATGGATTGGGTGGAACCTTCTTCAAACAAATCCAAAGAAGGGGAAAAAACCCCAAGAGATTTTCAAGTCAAATAAATTGGGGAGGGAGTGATATTTTTTCCCATTAAAGGGATCAACTGCAGCCCTTTGTACTGCAGTGTATTTATTTTAAAAAGTTGTTTTTGCTGGACATGGTGGTGTACACGTATAACGCCAGCACTTGAGAGGTAGCGGCAGGAGGATCGCCACCAGTTTGAGGCCAACTTGTGCTAAATGTGGAGTTCAAGGCCAGCCTGAACTACATAGTAAGACCCTGTCTCAAAAAAAAAAAATTAGAAAATTTATTAGTACATTTGCAGTACAGAATGATGACATTTACTGGGCTACACTTTAAATTTAGTTTAATTTGCAATTTATGTCAGGTGTGGTGGCACATGTCTATAATCTCAGCACTCAGAGGCTGAGGCAGGAGAATTGCTGCGAGTTTGAGGGGCAACCTTGGGCTTGGTAGGTTAAACCCAGCCCGAACTACATAACGAGACCCTATCCTCAAGCCCCCCCCAATAAATAAATAATTTGCGATCTATTTCCTGTGTGGTATGTTGCTAAATGGAGTTGACTTTGTGTTAACCTTTGTTCTTATTTTTTCACTTTTATTTCTACTTGTACATGTTTGCAGTACATAAAAAAGACCATCTCAGAAAAACAAAACACTTGGGCCAGGGATATAGCTCAGTGGCACAGCAACTGCCTGGCATGTGTAAGGTTGGGAGTTCAATTCCTGGTACCAAAAAAACTCACAATTTTTTTTGTTTGTTTTTTTACAAACAAAAAAGTGGTGGTTAATGCAGTTGGGCTGATGGGCTAGGCACGTCTGTGTTGGATGAACAGTGGTTTGTGTGTTAATTCCATGTGGAAGGTGGAGTGAGAGGAGCACATCGTTGCTCAGGCCTCTCTCACCTGCTGGGCCCAGGGTCTCTCTTCCAGCCCTCGGGGCAACCCTGAGAGGAGTTCACTCCTTTCGAGGTTGTCGGAGGTGTGGGCGGGTGAGCAAAGCGCATGAAGGCAGAAGGAAGGGTCCTTGGGATTTTGCTCTCTTCAGCCCCAAAGTGCACAAGTCTTTTCCTTTACACTGACTTTCCTGTGAAGGAAATGGGTTTGGTCAAAAACAGAAGGTCGAGAGGCATCCATGACGCTAAAGGGTTGCCAGAGAGGTGGCAGACAAGGGAATGCTTGAGGTTCTGCACCCCCACAGTCTCTCTCCCCCCTCCCCATACCAGGAATCGAACTCAGGACCTTGTGCTTGCCAGGCAGATGCTGCGCCACTGAGCTATACTCCTGTCCCACAGTCTGTTTTGTGGACTATAAAGATAAATGGAGCCAGGCGTGGTGGTGCAGGCCTGTAATCCTAGCACTCGGGAGGCTGAGGCAGGAGGCTTGTTTTGAGTTCAAGGCCAGCCTGGGCTGCAAAGTGAGCTCAAGGCCAGCCTGAACTTCATAGTGAAATTGTCTTTACAAAAAAATTAAAAAAAAAAAAAAAAAGGAAAATAAAGATGATAGGAAATGGGGAGGTAAAGTTGTGGAGAAGGAAAGTAACAATGATAAAGACGTGGTGATAGGTATTTTCTGCCAGTTCCTCGAGATGAATGTAATTATTACGTATTGCACTCATACACTAATGAGAAAATTAACACAAGAAGGGACGGTGTATCAGTCAGGGTTTGGCCGAGAAACAGATACAACACAAGATATACAAATATACAAAAAATGACGAGTTTGGCTCACCGTGGTCAGCCACAGATTGGATGAGGAAGCGAGCAGAGGGTGTCTGCACGCTGGAGATTGAAGAGCCCGGCCCCGGGCCTGGAGCTCGCTGCAGTGTCCGTGCAAGTCCGCATCAGGAGGCCCATGGGTCTGCGACTGAATGCTGGAGAATCTATGACAAAGGCCGGAGAGCCTACGCCAGAAGGTTGAAGAGTTCCAGGCGGAAGCCCAGCAGTCTGCACCAGAAGCCAGGAGACGACCAAGCTGAAGGCGAAGACAAGCTCCTCGGAAGAACCAGGGATCTGTTCTTTTTTATTTCCGTTTTATTGCACGCAGCCTCCTGCCCCGGGGGCGGGTGGTCCTCTACACCCACACTGTCTCCATGCCCTCCTCTTGCACAGGCTCAGGATAAATACAGAGTAAGCACCCTGGCTCCCTGCTGAGTCACTTAGTTAACCTTCTAAACTTCTCACATTGACACAGTGAACAACACCCTAGAGTGGGAAGGGCACGTCTTCTACGCCCCAGGACACTTAGTTAAGCTTTTAGACCCTCAAGGTGACACCGTGTATCAGCCATAACAGGCCCTTGCTTCTGTTGTGATGTGTTCGGCAAGCCCTCTGTGTGGGTGGGGCTGGGTCCCGGGTCCCCGGCACAGACCCAGGGGGACCAACAACAGGCGAAAGGCAGATGGGCCGGCTGTGCTCGAGGCAGCCCATCTCTGACTCCGTGTCCCCAGAGGTGCCGTAGGCTCCGTGGCACAGCATTGCAGGGCTGGGGACACGGAGACCCTGCCACACCCCGGCCAGGAGAGGAGAGCTGGGCGGAGCTGCAGCTGAGCAGATGCTGTGCTTGCTGGCTAACTCGATGCGTCCTGCCCAGCAGTCCTGCGGGGAGGCCCGTTACGGGATCCGTGGCTTTGTGGGCAGACCTGTGGGTGGCCCGTAGACTGCTGTGGAGTCAGTCACCTCCATCCCTGGCGTGAATGTGACGGATCCCCGGGAGGGGCCCTGGGCAGTTGGCCCCTGAGCGCGGTGTTGGCTGGGCCCGACTTGGGGGTGACGCTGCACAGCCACTGATCACTGCGGCAGGCACCCATCCCTCCCCGGGTCCCTCTTACGCACAAAGGGACGTTATTGCCAAGTGACACCTGTGATCCCAGCACCGGCCAGGCTGAGGCAGGAGGATGCCACAGTTGCGAAGTCAGCCTGGGCTACCCAGTGGGACTGTGCCTCAAAAGTCCACAAAACGAAAAAGACCCAAATCCCTCCAAAAATAAGTCGAAGGGAAGACTTGGAGAAGTAGTCTCAGAACTGCGTCTCCCGGGTGAGAGAGGTAGTTGGGTTTGTCTGTCAAACGTGAGGTGCGGCATCCAGTCCTGGTGTTACTTCCCTCTGCTCATGCAAGCCCATGAGGGGAGGCTGGCTCAGAGCTGCAGAGGCACTTTGAGGCCCTCTCACTGCTCCCCTGGCTGCATGGGGGGCTGGTTAGAGCACACCAGGGAGCTGAGGGCTCCCCTTGGAAATAGCCCGGTGCGCCGGGTGTGGTGGTGTGTGCCAGTGATCCCAGCACTTGGGAGGCTGCGGCAGGAGGGTCAGCGTGAGTTTGAGGCCAGCCTGGACATCACAGTGATACCCTGTGTCACAGAACCAAAAGAAAAATTGATGGCGGGATAGGTGGGGAAGCACGGGTGCCTGGGTCTCATGCTTGGTCCCGTGAACAGGCCTCGGAGGACCTGCTCAAGGAGCACTACAGTGACCTGAAGGAGCGCCCCTTCTTCCCCGGCCTGGTGCAGTACATGCACTCGGGGCCCGTGGTCGCCATGGTGAGTGCGCATGGGCTGCTGGGGGAAGAGGGAGGCATGAGGGCTGGGTTCCCCTCGGACGCTGGGTCCTGACTGCCGCAGAGGAGAGGCGTTGGCGGGGTCGCGCGTTCAGGAAGGGACGGCCCTGTGAGCCACCAGGGAGGGGTCCATTGGAGCTCATCATCCCTGTGCTGAGGGAAGCCGAGGCAGGAGGACTGCAGGTTGAAGGCCAGCCTGGGCTCCTTAGGCCTTCAAAGCCAGCCTGGACTATGTAGCAGGACCACGTTTGAGAAAAATAATTTAAGTTTTGTTGTGCTGGGGGTGGAGCCCAGGACCCCAGCTGTGCTAGGCGAGCGCTTCACCACTGAGCTACATCCCTGGCCCAAGCGTTTCTTTCCCTTAGTCCTGGGGATTGAGTCCAGGGCCTCACATACGCTGGGCGAGAGCTCTTCCCTGCTCCGACAGCCCCAGGTCTCCCCGGTACTGCTTGGAAGAGGGCAGGGCTGGCAGACAGAAGAACTGATACATGTGTTGCTGAGGGTCAGTGGTCCGAAGAAACGTGACAGGGCTGTGTGACAGCAGGGCCGCTTTAGATCAGCTGGTCTCGAGGTGTGACTTTCCAGTTAGAGCAGTCCCGAGCGAGAGGGCGGCAGGTGCAGAGGAGGTAAGGCTCGGGAGGAAGGCGGAGGGCCGCGGCGTGGTGGGTGAGGAGGTGCGGGATGCCGCGAGTTTCGGGCATAGGCTGAGCCGGGAGCCCAGGAACCCCAGGCCTGGAAGGCGGGTGCTCGTGGGGGTCGGCCCGTGGGGCTTTTTTATTTTCCCGTTCTTGAGTGCACAGTGGCCAGGGCGTCCACCTAGGGGCTCTGTCCTTGCTGTGTCCCCCGACCAGGTCTGGGAGGGGCTGAACGTGGTGAAGACGGGCCGCGTGATGCTGGGCGAGACCAACCCTGCCGACTCCAAGCCGGGCACCATCCGCGGGGACTTCTGCATCCAAATCGGCAGGTGGGTGTGGGGGTGCTCCCCTTTTCCAAAGCCCATTCATTGCCACAAGAATTTGGGTTTGCAGCTGGGTGTGGTGGTGCATGCCTGTAATCCCAGCACTTGGGAGGCTGAGGCAGGAGGATTGCTGTGAGTTCCCAGCTGGCCTTGTCTACATAAGCGAGTGTAAGGCCAGCCTACCTGAACTGCATAGTGAGACCCTGTCTCCAAAAAAAAAAAAAAAAAAAAAGAAATAGTGTTTGCACGGGCCTGAAGAACTTGACATCGGGGCAGAAAAATTTGAGAAGCAAGCTCCTCGTCTTCCTAGCTCTGTGGCTGCGGTGGCTTTGGGCTGTTCCGGAGGGGGGTGGCCTTCATCACTGTCCTGTGCCTCTGTTGAGAGCTTAGGGCCTGGGCAAGGTCTTCTTCCTGTGGCTGTCCGAGCTGGGACAGTGTCTCAGGAGGGCTGGTGGGGGTCTTTCTCCTCCGACCACAGCGCACTTTCTCCACAGGGCGGCACAGCAGGCTTCTGTGTTTCCCTCTTCGGTCTCTTTAATGTGGCCCAGTCCTCCCTGCCTAGGACCATTATGATTATTGCTTGGATTACTTTATGGGTCTGTGTGTGCAGTCCGTAGTGACTGCATCCGTCACAGGGAGCCGGGCCAGGCACCCAGCGTCTCCGTCCTTTCCGACCCCTCCAGGAACATCATCCACGGCAGTGACTCGGTGGAGAGCGCGGAGAAGGAGATCGCGCTGTGGTTCTCGCGGGAGGAGCTGGTGGACTACACGAGCTGCGCCCAGGACTGGATCTACGAGTGACCGAGTGACGGCGGGCCTGGCGGCGGTGGCCAGTGCCTGTCCACGGCGAGGACTAGACTAGCAGAGCCGGCCGGTGCAGAACATCCCCGTCATGTGGAGGGCAACTGAGCTCGAGCACACCGACCCCTCCAGGGTTGCGTCCCAACGTTGTCACCCCAGCACGGGGGCAGCCGAGTCGGTCACGTAGCCTTGTCTCTCTTTCCACCCTGCGTTCTACCCTCCCGGCACTGAGCCTGCAGCAGACATCTGTGGTGGATTTGCCCGGTTGTCAGGACCCTACCCAGTGCAGAGCATTCATCAGAAATGAAAGATACCCATCCTTTTGTTCGTTTCTTTTTCTTTTTTGGTTTTTTGAGACAGGATTAATGTAGTTGAGACTGACCTTGAGGCAGGGTGGCCATCCTCCTGCCTCAGCATCCCGAGTGCTGGGACGGCAGGCCTGTGACCCTGTGGCTGCCTTCCATCCTTCTCCCGAGAAGCACCGGGAAGAGACAGAAGTTGTAACTACTCCAGAAGTGGGAAAGCCAGTGGACAGTAGGCTTGGCCCCTTCTGATGGCTTCCAGTGAAGTGGGAGAAGCCACTACAAATCAGAGTAGCTTTGATTTGTTAGGACATTGCTTTGATTTTTGTTTTGTTCTGAGACAAGGGCTCCCTATGCAGTTTAGGCTGGCCTTGAACCCACTGGAGCGCAGGCTGCCCTGGAACTCACAGCAGTCTTCCTGCCTCAGCCTCTTGAGGGCTGGGATTAAAGGTGTGTGCTACCACATCTGGCTAAGGACACTGATTTGATTTGGTTGCTTTAAAAAAGACAAGATACAAGTTTACGTATTTGTTTATAAACCTAAGCTGGTCAGTAGGTGTTGGCCATGGTGGCTATGGGTTCGAGCCCATCCTGGGCCCCAGTGGGCTCAAGGCCAGCCTGGTCCACATAGCAAGACCCTGCCTCAGAGAGCCAAAAAAAAAAAAAAAAGAATTGAAAACCTTCACCTTGCCTCACATCCTGCCAGTCAGGGCAGAGTCACGTGGCTGCACTGAGCTAATGGGACGCTGGAAAAAGAGATGTTGTCTAGGAGACCATGGGCTGGGTAGAACCTTGTGCCTAGGAGTTCTGTGTCCAGAAAAGGTGGTGCACGCCTGTAATCCTAGCACTTGGGAGGCTGAGGCAGGATGATTACCGAAGCCGACCTGGGCTACATGGTGAGTCCAAGGCCATCCTGAACTGCACAGTGAGACCCTATCTTGAAAAGCCAAACAATAAAAAAATCCAATTCCGACCCCCAGCCCAAAACCCACGTTTCAGACTGAAGGTGGGTGGGCGCAGGTAACCTTGGCCGTGTGTCCTGGGTTGATGCTGTGAACCAGCTGCTCTGGAAGCTGACAGGTGCAGCAGTTCCTGCTCTGGGCGGCTTGCCTGGTCCGGGGTGATCAAGCCAGGGTGACGGGGCAGTGTGATCCCCGCGGAGGGGAGGTGGAGGGTGCTGGGCTGCTTACAGGTGAGAGGTGCCCGGTCCTGAAGACGGGGACCCCCGGGGCGCAGAAGCAGAACATGCCCACGAAGGGAAGTCCAGGGCGGGCTTGTGAGAAAGACCCCTGGGTGAGAGGGCCCGCCCGGGTGGGGTGGGGACGGGGTTAGGGGAGTTTGATTTTGGCTCCCGATCTCGGCTCTTTGTCTTCATTATTGGGGAATGAACTTGGGGCTGAGCCCAGTACTTAGGGACAGGGCCTTGCCGAGCTGTTAAGTAGCTCTGTCTGGGCTCCAGCGCGCAGTCCTCCCGCCTCGGCCCCAGGTTGCTGGGATTCCAGGCCTGTGCCAGACTGCAGTGGTGTAGGCAGCAGCCTCCGCACCTTTACCCAAGCAGGGCAGGTTCACGGCCACAGTCCGCGCTCAAGCTTGCTGGGAAAAACCTGCCGCTGGCTGGGTTACAGAGCAGCCAGGTCACCAGGGACACGGACATGAGCAGGAGGTGGGGCCCTGCGGGGCAGGGCTTAGGCGGGCAGGAGGCAGGAACAGCCTGCGAGCGCCCGGCCTGACTTCTGCGAGAATCTACTCTTGCCCCGGGTGCGTCTCGGTGGAACTGGTGGCAGCAGGGATCCCCGTCGCGGGGTGGGGACAGGCGGGGAGATAGCCAGGAGCCAGCAGCTTTCCTTGCTGGGGAGTTTCAGGCCGTCCTGAGGCCGGGGACGCAGACAGGAGCAGGTGGCCGGCGCGGGACGTGCTGGGGTCGGGGTAGGGCGATCGAGACCCCGGGGAGGCCGCCCGCGTGGACGGGGACGGTCCTGACTTGCCCAGCGCTCAGGCGGCCGGGGTGGGGGCCGAGTCTCCAAGGACAAGGACGCAGGGCTCCGGGGCGGAGCGGGAGGCGGATGGCGCGGATCCGGGGAAAAGGACTCCGTCCCTCAGCAGGGTCCGGAGTGCGGGGGCGCAGCAGGTTCGGGAGAGGCGCAGGCGGAGCGGGACGCCGGGTGGGGACGCAGACGACTTCCTGAGATTCGCGGCCGCTGGGCGGGGCCGGGGCTGGGCGCCGGGTCCCCTCCCCGGGGTGTGGCCGCCCGCGCTCCTCCTCCGCCTCTAGCACCCGGGTGCGGCGAGCGATCGCCCGGTGGGTCTCGTCTCCGCCGCGCAGCTCCGTCTCCGTGCAGCACTCGTCGCTTCCCGGTGAGGCTCGGCGCCCTCCCCGCACCCGCGGCCCTCGGGCCGCCGACTCCCAGGCCCCCGAGCCCTGCAGCGCCCCCTCCGGGCCGGGGGACCCTCCGAAGGCCACGTGTCCCCGCGCGTGGC